ACCCTAAAACCCTAAACCCTAACGACCAACTCTCCTGGGTGGACAGCGCTTCGCTGCTCTTTGGGGCGCTGGCTGTCTGTGAATTCTTCACCTCAGGTTCGGGTTTAGGGTTTAGGGTTTTAGGGTTTAGGGTTTAGGGTTTTAGGGTTTTAGGGTTTAGGGTTTTAGGGTTTAAACCCCACAGAAAGAAGGGCCTTCTCAGGGATATCTAGGGATGACCAAAATTCAGAGCGGCTTAAATAGGGTTTAGGAATTGTTGGGGTGTAGGGAATTCTACCCTAAACCCTAAACCCTATTGGGGACCTTGGAATAAGAAACAGGAATGCAAGGAGATCGGGCCTCTACTACACCCTAGGAATCTTGAGATGCTACAGGCGCCTACGTAATTACCACCACAATTTTGATGTCTACTTGAGGCTTATACTATGATTATATAAAGAATCTAGGACCCTGATACAGGTAATAAATTCAAGCTTCTACAGTACCCTTCAAACCCCAACCTCTAAACCGTAGACCCTAAACCCTAACCAAGCCTGACTCAAACGACAGGGTCTCTCCAGGAATGGTCTCATTCAAGATCTCTCCTGCAAGGTCCCGCAAGGATACCCCGACTGTACAGGGTGTGGGGCTAAGGGTTTAGGGATGTTTAAGGTTCAGGGTTTAGGGATGTTTAAGTTTTAGGGTGCAGGGTTTAGTGGGTTCTTCGGACCATTGGAACCCTCCCCTCTAACCGCGAGCCTTATACCAGCGAAATCCGAACCCAGAGCTTGAAAGAAGGCTACTTTGGGACCACATTTAAAAAAAAAAGAAAAAAAAGAGACCACCATTCTGGGGTGAGGTCGGGTGAGGTCATTATAGCTAGGATCCTTATGTCTCTCTAACCCTAAGCCCTGAACCCTAAATCCTAAACCCAGAGCGGGCCCCTCTCCTAGGAAGTTCACGACCAGCTCCCTCAGCGAAGCAACTGAGATCTTTCGCGCTTCATCCTTGGCTGCTCAGAAGCCCTTCACAAAAAAAAAAAAAAAAAAAA